AACCGGTGTTTTCACATTTTCTTCCCTTCTTTTTCTCTCCCTGTCTTTTCTCTCCCTTAACAACCCCCCAGCCCACGTGTCTACTCATTGCGTGTTTTCTTTTCCTCTCCACCTTGTCTTCCTCCTCTGTCGCCAAACTCTTCTTTCTGTTCCTCCTTTTTTTTATTATGTAATTTTCTTTCTCCATATACCTTTTTATTTAATCCTTTTACCGTTTGGGACCCTTTTATTTCATATTGCGTCTCTTTTATTTTTATTTTTTTCTACTTTTGTTCCTTCTTTATTCCTTCCCTTGGCCTTTCTCGTTCTGTTCTTCATTACTCGCCCATGCATGCAGCAGCCCGAGTGTAGGAACTGCCGAGAGAAGGAGACGTCTGGCTGGGAGAAGATGGATGGGGATCACAGTACTGACCACGTGAGAGGCTATAACACCTATCAGCCTGAAGACAACGAGTCCTTTGCAGCAGAGGTAGGTGACCATTGCATTCTATCTGTCTGGTCATGAGAAAAAGCAAATACAACATTACAATACTTGTAATGCATTTAGGTCTTAGATCAAATCAACTGCAAGTATAGCCCTTGCTTTGCACAAATGTTGATCGAGGGACCAATCAGACTATGCGTTGTGGCGACATGTGCTACCACAACGCATGGCAACACACCTGCTCTCTTGTAGAGTAGAGCTTAACACACTGCAGCAAACAGGAATGCGTATACTATGCATTGTGGTGCAGCTGCATTGAAAACAATGGGTTATGTACACGGCTTCAAAAATCCTCTCCTCACAGATGAGTAGCTTCCTGGCCGGCTGTTGTAATTAAACGGGCGGCCGGGAGCTTTACATTCAAGAGATCGGGCATTTCTTAAGGGCGCCTGATCGCTTGTATTCAGTGCGGTAAAAAGGACCTGACCTGTGAAAGCTGGGATTAGAAAGGCAAGCAAAGACCAAAGGACTCATCGCACCAGGTCTCTGTGTCAGAACGCATTCCAAAAAAGTATACAGTGTGTACACTGCATGCCAAGTCCCTCAAAGTACGCCCGATCCCTCGATGTACACAGGACATATGTTGCACACCCGGTCCCTCTCTCCTGCTGTGTAAATCAAAACTTCTGTTTTAGAATACTGTTTTATTTTATATAAACTTTATCCCAATTTAATGCTTAGTTAACCTAAATCAGTACTAATGAATTCCTCCCCACTTTCTCCCCTCAGATAAAACAACTTTACTCCCCTTTCACCCTATCCCTCCTTTCCAAGCAGCCGCTGTTCTTCTCTCTGGTGCTGCAAATTGTTCGCGGGCCCTTTGACGTCCTCACGCAATAAATGACTGCTGATCCTTCATTCTATGTGATGACGTCAGCGTGCCTGTAGCTGGTGGAGCAGCAAAGAGAAGCATTGTCCTCATGCTGGTTCCTTACCGGCGTCTTCCCTTCTTACATCATTGGTTCACCCTCCAGCAATGTGGGTCCCTCCCGGGATATGTGATGGGAGATCTCCCAGGAGGCTGAAGGAGCAGGACACCTCCTTCTCCCCTGGGCGAGAATAACTACAACAACAAAAATGCAGGAAGGAAAAGTCAGTCCTGGGAGTGAAGATCCACTTTAAGAAGGGACTTTTATTTCTTTGTCAATTAGCTCTTTCTGCTGAGGACATTGAATTCTCCGTAATGATGTACACTTTAGTTTATCGTTGTAATGCAAAGCTGTAAGAACACGTTTCTGCCCAAGTATGTATTTTGGGATCGGTGAAATAATAATAAAAAGCTGCTCTGAAGGGCTGTGACTTCTACTTCATTTGTTGCTCTCGCTCTGACTCCACATTGGAGTTCACTCTCCTGGCTCCTTCATACGTAAATGCTGCTTTAAATAGCTGAAAACATCCACTCCCTTATCTGCTCAGCAACAGTGATACACAGAGGCTGAATGGGATGACTATTGCCTACTGGCCACGTCTGATGCTGTACAGCCTAGCAACTCTCTCTCTTTACTGGTTGCCTAGCAACCGTGTTACTATCCAAAGCTCTGTAACGAGAGCTGGACCAATTGCAGAGCTGATTAACTCTTTTCTTGTCATATCATTAAATAGGACAGTCTTTTTTTTTTTTTTCCTTTTTCTTTTCTCAGGATAAACAATTCATGAGGCCAATAGTAGACATTCTATACTGCAAATTCCAGCGTTTAGGTGACCCCCTGATTCTCAAGCTGTAGTGAATAAAGCTAAATAAGAAGGAAAATCTCATATATTTTAAGCCTGAATATTCACATTTATACATTAGCTTAGCTGTGACTAATTCTGTTTTAAATGGTCTAAAAGATGAACTGTTTCTCAGCAGCCAGCCACAATTTGATCCCCCGCCACACCCCTCCATGTTTGCTTCAGAGGAGATGGCAAGTAGGGGTGCTCTTGCTAAAAAAAATAATTGTTGAATCTTCTGACGTGTTCGTTCCAAGATGTTTAGCATTAGTTGATAAATATATTGAGGGGAATTTATCAAAACTGGAGCAGACAGAATCTGGAGCAGATGTCCATGGCAACCAATCGGCATCCACCTTTCATTTTCAAACCTTTGTGAACAAACGGAAGAGAGAAGCTGATTGGTTGCCATGGGCAACTGCTCCAGATTTGATAGATTCCCACCATTGTATTGGGAGATGGGGCTGAATAAATAATATCCCAGTATGTAATTGGATCCAGTGCTTGAGGATCACTTGATACAGCATACAGCATATTGCCTGCCATGACGACGAGTGCTTATTGACCTTGCATTGTGCTTCCCTGAACCCTCTCCTCAATTATCCCTTCTTGTCAATAACTAAGCCCAGGCTTGATTTCATTCTCAATCAATCCATTGAGTTTCAGTCCAATCTTGTAGAATCGGTGATTCTGCTCATGGGTGATCTTGAAGTAGAATATGTTACGTTTAGGCAGCATGCTGTGGGTTCCCTTTTAAATGGAATGATGGTGCAGGCTTGCCCTTGTGCAGATGAAGGCGACAGATGTAAATACGTTTTATGAATTCCAATTCTACCTTCTCCACATTCGGTTTGTTCCTACGTGGGACATGTGACCGTAAGATGACGGCCTTTGTATTGAGTCATTGCAGGAGGTATAACCAAGCTTGTCCATTTATAGGAGAGGTTGAGGGTGCATTTAACTCCCAGATGCTGAAATCTCGGGATCTATAGATCCTTATGACATTTGGTTTTCACTGAAGGTAACCTCTGATTAGGCATTCTTCACTATATGTCCAGTTTCAGTTGTCCACTTTACTTTACTTTAAAATGAACCAGTGCCTTGCTCTTGTGAAGCAAAGCAACATTGTTGCCTTTAGGCTGAGTTCACATTGCATGTGTTATGCTGTGTGTTGCTTTGCCATGCGCTAAGACATTTGAATGAGCTTCCTAATGCACCGAAAACTATCAATAAAGGTGCATGCAGTATTACAGAAAGCCATTGACTCTTCCCATGTGACAGCACTGGTGTTCTATGGTTGGTCTAGCACTGTCACATGGAATGAACCTCACCCGGGGGTACACTGAGTATTTTCTTCCCTTCCAGAAGCAGGACAGAGAGGTCGATGAGTGAAGGGAGGCATGTGCATTTGGGGAGGGGAACAGCACGGGCAATTCATAGGTTTGCTTTATAACATTTCCATAGGGCTGGCCATGAGACAAGTCCTATAAGCTATTTACTAATGCCATTTGTACCAAGGTGCCTCTAAATATGGATTTCAAAGCTCAAGAAAAGGATAAACTGTACTGTGTTCCCAACTTAAAAAAAAAAAAACTATTCCAGGTAAAGCAACATGGTTTATAATCCGTTGATGGAACTGCCAAGCACAGTTTACACTTTTGCCTACTGTCCCCACAACATGTAAACCCAGCATCCAACCTTCTTCCAGACCTAATGTCACCACTTTTTTGATTGAAAAATATACTTTATTAATGTAATAAAATATACAAAAACAAGCTATACAATCGGGGTACATCCTACCTCGTACTGCGACGCAGCGCATAAACACCACATAGCAATACAGCTCAATCACACAATAAATTACATTCGCACTGTGGCGAGATGCCTGACGTGTAGCACAAGACAAGAGTCCTGGGCCCTCCACGTCATTCATGACACCGCATTACCCCGTACTGAGTATGTGGTCCGTAGGATCCACATCAAAATACCTTAACCTCAATAAACTTCAATAAACCTTGCGGCGCAATGTCTGACGTGCGGAACTCGAGTTTCCTCACATCCTACATGGCACCGCAACAACATATCAAGCGTAAAACATTTTTAGACAAGAGACACAAAAAGGTCTTCTCAGATGTCCTCTTCCTCAAAGTCCGTAAGGTGATACCACTGCATCATGCTAATTGACAGACAACTCATGGAAAGAAAGCAAGGCCCATTGTGTCTTGTATTTTGGCTCTTCATTGCAGATCTACTCTATATCATGGATAGCCAAACTGTAGCCCTTCAGCTGTGGTGAACCTACAACCACCATCATGCATCTGCCTCTGGGAGTCATGCCTGCAGCTGTTAGTTTTGCAATACCTCCTGGGATTTGTAGTTACACCACAGCAGGAGGGTCGGAGTTTGCCCACCCCTGCTCTATACGATATGGAGGAGGATGAGTGGTTAAAAATAAAAAAATCTCCTCTCACTTCTGGTTGTGTCCTGACATAGGAAGTGACAGGAAATCATCCCAGTGGAATGCAGCACAGAAAAATTTGTCGGTTTTAAAGGACAAATTCTCCCTCTTATACTTGCCATACCCTGCGGTCATGTGGCTCTCCAGTCCCAAGTCTTTTGTCGTCTTCTGTGCCCAGGAGGTGGAGTCCTTCTTTGGGTGTCCACGTCGCGGTCTGTAGGGTATGCACGCGACAGATTGGCGTCCAGCAGCAGGGTACTCTTTGGATCCAGGAGAGGACAACCTCAGCAACAGGGGACCGGCTTCTGCAGTGCTGGATTAACGTGAAAATGGAGTTGGCGAGGGACAAGGATGGTGAGTCGAAGATGCTTCTGAAGGTAAATAAACAAAAAGTGCAGAAGGGGTGTGAGAGGCATTGAAGCCAGCTCCTGCTGGATACTCAATTTACATATGACAACACTGTATGGTGCACTATTGACACTTGTGCAGTTGTCACATTTCAGTGTAGATAGAAATTCCTGAACCGTCCAGTCTTTGTGGCAAGACCTGGTAACCTGCTTAATTCTCTCCAGTATGTTGTGGCCATCAAAAGATTGAACATATATTTTATTAATTTTGGGTTTTTGTTTTTAAAGAACAGATGTGGTTGCCAACGACCGGGACAATTTTGTATCATTATATATAAATATCTGTTCAAATATGGAGTATTAAGCACCCAATGAATCCACCTTATCTCATGGCGCACTTCATTTATAAAAGATCCGTCCCGTGTACAGCCAGGTGGATGCCGCTTGCACTGCACTAGAGCCCCTAGATGGCGCTGATGAGTGCCATCTAGGGTAGCTAGTGCTGTGGAAACGGCCTAGCCGTGCGGAATTTGTATAAAGAATACCCGTTGTGAACACAGTCACAGTCTCTCTACTCGGGGGGAGCACAGTCACTGTCCCTCTACTCGGGGGGTCAGCTTTTGGGGGGAAAATAAAGTTTAGTGTTTTCTCTTCTCACAGATTCAGGACCTGCAGCTGGTGCTGTCTGAAGCCAATGAGACCATTCAGGGGCTGCAGGAGCAGCTGTCACAGGAGAGACAGTTGAGGAAGGAAGATGAAGAGGCCTTCAACCAGAAAATTGTCCAGGTCAGTGTACACATTTGCCATATCCGTCTAAGCTACCGCCCTGTCTGGACTATTGCCTTGTGTCATAAGGAAGTTCATTTATACTGTAGAGGGGAAACTAGCGTGTCTTTAGACATACATGTGAAAGTGGTAATTTAGTGTCATTATTCTTAAAACTGAACCTCAGGCAGAAGTAAATACACAAATGAATGCAGCTATGCATTTGTTATTTCATTATTTTTTTTAATGCAAGCAGTACAAGTAGCCGAATTTGACTTTGTGTTAGCTTAATGCCGTCCCTGTACAGCTGAGCTCAAACTGGAAGGAAGGAGCTAATCAGTTGTGCTGCATTGATCAGGTCTTAACAAGTAACATGCTAGGAGGAGAGAGCAGAGTGACAGCAAGATGAGCTCATCATTCTGCTGCTTCCACTTTCACTGCCCAGGCTGGGGGAGGGACAAGACCTGTGCGTATTACTGAACTGCAGCAGAGAAAAATCAGGTCTCCTGCCCTGCCAGAGAGGTTTCTGCTGTGTGGCAGAGGTGTGTGAATCTCAAAACTGGATGGGCAGAAATGCAAATCCTTTGGCACATAAAGGAGGTGCTAAATATATACTGCATCTGTGTATTTAGACTCTGTCAGGGTGATAAATACTGCTGCAGGTATGAAGTGCAGGCACTGGAGGCGTGTGAACGTACCTCCAAGTAACCCCACAGATAAGACCTTTTTTGTTATTGTACTTTTCTCTTTAGGGCAGCTAGCACAGAGCTATAGCCTGGACAGCCGAGCTGTATACAGGTCACATTTTACAGGTTTCCAGCCTCTTCCATACATGCATGTGGATGTTTTTAGCTGCTAGTCCAAAGCTGTACCGTTTTTGTTCTAGGACAATGAGTCCTTTTTAATTTAAACACCTCAAAGTGTGTTGAGATGAAGTATTGTGCTAATGAGGTGTGATTTTTCTGCCACCATTTATCACCGTGTTAAATCTTCCTTGTGCTTCTGCTTTCCATATTATATCATCTGTGTGTGAGATCAGGAAATACAGGGATAGTTAAAGTAGGTCTGGATCCCTCTTTATATACTTCCACTTACATTAAATATCCCCTTATATCAAATTGTATCAGCTGTGTTGTTTTTCCTCCATCTTTATTTCTGTTTATTTCTCCTTCCTGGAGCACATCTGCCGTTTTTGTCACCACGATCTATGCCGGCTGGTAGGGGTTGCAGTGCCCGCATTTTCCACTGATGGGACATGCATCTCTCCACAGCACTATATTTCCCATAAGTGCCAGTGTTCTATCAAAAGTTTGTGACTGCAGTGGAATGTGTAACCGGTCACATGGTAACACATTTTAACATAATCCCGCCCAGTTTTTCGGTGGTGGAATGTGTGACCACCATTAGGTCAAGCATTGCAACGCTTTGTATCTGTTCCAGGGCAAATTGGCATCACAGATCGTATGTGCAGGAGAACCGATCTGCCCTGGAACAGCTGATCAGTCCTGAAATGCCACTTCTATCTGGCTTTGTGACTGCGATCTCACATTCCACCGCACTCACAAAGTCGGATAGAAGTGACGTTTCAGGACTGATCAGCTGTTCCAGGGCAGATCGATTCTCCTGCATATACTATCTGCGATGCCGATTTGCCCTTGAACATCTGACAAAACGCTTCTCGGCCTTTTGGCTAAGATCAAGTGTAGTATCTGTTATTATCAGTTTTCGGTGGGGAAAAGAACCGTCCTTGCGGGGGATGGTTACTTAGTACTCGCTGGAGTGAAAGAGCGTGTGGGGCGGCTTCCTGTGAGAGGGGAACCGCTCAGGCTTTCTGACTGAACGGATGCGAAGCTTGGTCTGGCTCGAGGGTTCGGGGGCGGCAGAAGCCCGTGGTGTTGTGCCCCCTGGGGGTGGCGTCCCAGGGGTGCGCAGAAAGTCACATGGGTATGGGACCCCAATTGACTCACTGTGCACTTGGTCACACACCACCTTGCTTTTTCTGCACAACGCCTCTTGGACAGGCCTTATGGCTAGTCCGGGGCAATATTTTTGCACTCCGGCCCCTAAGGCCTGTCAGCGTGGTGCACTGACACTTTAGTATTATTTATTGCACTCTATGCACGATGCACGATTGGCTTTTTGATTGAATTACCCACAGATTGCTGAAGGTGCAGGTTCCTTCGGGGCCTATTCCTGATGCTGGGAGGAGGTTCTGTGCCTCTTACGGGGTTCTCTGCCTCCTCCCACCCAGGAGGTGGGTTTCTCTTCGGGAGATCCCACCTGCCAAGTACTGAGGGGGACCTGTTTCGGCAGGTCCCCATAGGAAATGGGTCCACCGGCCTTCGGGTTGGTGGACCACCAGTCTCAACCCCTGTCAGGAGCCTTGCGCCCCGGGGGGTCGGGAAATGGGTCCCTTCTTCGGAAGGACCTTGCACCCTTGTGCACGTTTTTGTGTGCTGTGATTTCACGGTTCACTTTTTTTGTTCACAGGGGGAAGTTTGTTGAGATGCACGTCCACGGGCTTCAAAAAAAAAAAAAATCTGACAAAGCGTTGGAATTCTTCACCTATTGTCGGTCACATATCCCACCGCTGTAAAACAGATTACGGGATTATGTTAAAATGTGTGATCACGTGACCGTTCACATATTCCATCCAGGAAGGGGGTCTAAACACCTGGTCTTGAAGTGGTTAAGGAACCATCAGCTACTGTGGTTCATACACAGTACACAGTGTATAGACCTGAGGACGCTGAGGAAGACTCCATTGCTGCAGAGGAGGATACAGGGTGCAGAGGGCCGGCTCAGAGCTTCAGGTGAGTATATCTTTTTGTCCCTAGACCCAAACAAGCACTTAACCCTTGGAGTAGCCTCACTGCAAAGGTTAATAATTTTTCCTGGAGTTATTCATAAAAGTATTTAAAGTGACTTGCATGAAAACCTTATATTAAAAGAATATGCAGTTGTGGGGTAAGATTTAGGCTCTGTGTCAATGGGCTTCGATGGGCAAATGCAGCTCCCATCAGATTACTCAGATTTCATTGTTGGTGCTGCGGAATGGAATTTGACCTAGTTTTGCGTGCCCTTAGATTTGTATGGGAAGAGAAGCATTTCTGAAGCGGACAAAGGCCATTCTACTAAAGCACTGTCTGGGCAAAGAACACATTCACTTTAAACCGGTATACATAACCAAATCAAAGAAAACTGGAAAGGATGCAGTATCATTTATCATAGGACAGGCACAGATATGTAGGAAATTCAGCTTATATCAATTTCTTGTATATACTGGATTACAGAACACCTCCCTCATGTTTTGGAGATTAGGATGAAACATGTTATGTAGTCTAAGGGGAGAATTTGAGCAGGGGTGATGGCATTGTTTGGGATTTCAGCTCCGCAGAGGCAGCGTTGTCTGCTCACTACAAGCAGTGCTGGCAGGGGCTCGCTAGATTTCTGGCAGATGATCAGGTATAGTTCTTTACATGCACCATTATTAACCGATTCCCGGCCGTTGTAAAAAATGGCCGGCCGGGAGCTTCCTGGATGTAACAGGTCGTGTATATGCGGCCTGTTAGCCCCGCCCACTCGTGCGCACCGTGCGGCGCGCGAGTGGGAAAGACACAACATTTAAAAACAGGCAGCGATGCCTGTTAACATACAAGCGATCTGCCAGCAAAAAAATTTTTTGAACGCCCCCACCAATACATACTGGCCTGGACAGGAAGGGGGTGTAAACACCTGGTCAGCAAGTGGTTAAAGGCATACAACATGAAGGAATGTGCATATATTGCAGAGAGATACTGACAGGGCTATTCCCTAACGGCTGAAGAGTTGGGAGAAGGGAACAATCTAGGACATCATAGCTGATTTGGAACAATTCTATAATTCAGCTCACTTTCCAGATCAGCTATGTTGTCTTAGATTGTTCCCTCCTCCTGCCTTCTCCATGCCCGTCACCCTCTTATGAATAACCCTGTGAATGTTTTTTGCCTAGACATAGACAGTGAATCAAACTCTAGTTGGGAATTTGGCCTCATAGTCTATAAAAGATTCCTTCCCGGGTGGCTTGTTCTCGTTCCTTTATTGTACACGCGTCTCCTCATGTTAGCCGGTAGAGCTACAGATGTATTCTGAAAGGTTTTATGGCCCGCTGTGCATTATTTATGATGCAAATCGTTTTTACTGCTGTACTTTGGTTAATTTGCATCTTCTACTGAAGATATGAAAATGAATTGATGATTGAAGGAGTAATAACAGAGGTCATGCTGTGGTGTTGGTAGATCATAGGAGTAGAGCTTTTAGCTCTCTGTCAGCCAGCCTGTAGTATAAAGATGAACACAAAAGTTTTCCGTGTCACCCCTAGGCAATCGCGTTTCAGATGTTGCTGTGGACAGAACAAGCCGTCTTTTTCACATATTGTCGGTTACCCCCATTGCACTTTTTCAGAAGCTCCTTCTAGAGGAGAATGCACTAGTACTAAAGAATACATTAGATGATCTTGTTGCTATGGGCAGAGTAGATTGCTGGAGATTGTTGTTCCTATATTGTATGGAATTATTTGTTTCCGGCTAGGAAATGGTTTTTGTTCTCTCACGTGTTGGTAATGTATGATATTGCCAGCCAGCTGCTCTATTAATAGGACATTGGGTGGACAAACTAATATTGAATTCAGGAGCCAGTCTGTCCAAACTAAGAGTCCTCTCCATTGCCAACAGCTAAATAAAACCTCAGATGTTTGGCCCCAGCTGTCATTCTTAAGGAGCATTGTCCAGCTCTGAGTTAGGGTGCCTACTGGGGTGGGCAATGTAAATGACTGTAGTGCCAATGTGCGCTTGGGCCGCAATCCATACCAAGGTATTCTGTGAAGCATATGCATCCTTGGGCACTTCTTCGTAATGCTGCACCATAACGTAGGGTTGGACGCTCAGACATACTTGTTCTGACTCAGTCATTTAAGGTAGATGGATCAGTATGATAGTTGGGCACCTAGCATTTTCAACCTTTTTGTTTCTCTCATCATGGGCCCTTCAGGAATGTGGTATATCCATAATAAAAGGAAGAACTGCAAAACATCTCCTAAACTATTGCAGCTTTTTCTTTGCATAATAGTTGGTTTGAGCCTCGTTTATAGTAGGTAATGTGGACCAGCCATGGGCACTCGCAGTAGAGCTGGTGAAGGCCACTGCACGGGTAAATTGTTAAGTGTTACATCGTTCTAAGGCTGGGCACACACCTTAAACCATCGCATTTTGTCTTGCGATGGTTGTAAGGTAATTGGAAAAAAAAAGACGATCTGCCTATCAGCGGAGCGGACCTGAGAGAGAAACTTCTCTTCACTCCTCTGCTCAGTGGGTAAGTCGGCACAATAGCCAGCCTGCTATCGGCCATTACAATTTGAAATGGCCAATAGCAGGCTGGCTATTTTCCCCATTGTTTACATTCGGCTGTTGACCGTGGAATCTAGCCGCCGGCCAGCAGCAAGATGTAAACAAAGAATTTCATAGCAATTCAATTTACTTGCTAACAAAATTCTTTAGTATACTGTGCACCAAGCAATCAGCATTTTTTCTAATGTGCATCAAGCCACTGGCAAACAAAAAAGCCTGATCACTTGTATGATGCATGTCTCTGTGTGCCCCCTCCTTACCTCTTCTCATGGCCGCCGTCCCGGTCATCCAATCCGGGATGGGCGATGTGGCTCCGTGCACTGAGAACGGAGGGACATCAGTACACGATATATTTTTTTGCTGGTTGCTTGAATGTCGGATGATGGGGAGTTTACGGTATATCTAAATGTACAACCGTAAGCTACCATGCTGTGCACTGATCCATAGGGATGGCAAAGTAATGGTCTGAGCTAGTTTTCTTGTGTTTTTAGAATTAAGCTCTGATGTCCGTTCTGTAACATTTAACTTCCAGCTGAAGGAAGACCAGCAGAAACTGCTCCTAAGGCGAGACTTTGAGCTCCAGAGCCTGGGTCTGGAGAGGAGACTGGAGCAGAAGTTCTGGAGCCAGGAGAAGAACATCCTAGTGCAGGAAGTCCAGCAGTTCAAGCAGAGCTTCTTCCTGACCTTCATGAAGCTCAGGTGGTTTCTACAGCGTTGGCGGAAGGGGAAGGTCCTGCCAAGCGAAGGAGAAGACTTTCTGGAGGTAAGGATTTACAAAGGCCACACATTGCAGGCCTTCCAATGTATACAACCTACCTATGAGTGACCAGCTAAGTGCAAAGACACAGCCAGGCAGTATCATTTTAGTAAGTAATTCCAAACAATGATGGCAATATGTGTCTCGCATGAGATGTTAGTGTTTTGGTCTCAAATTTTTTTTTTTTCTTCAAAAATGAGAGATGTAGAGATTATATTAGGGTGTCGCTGTAAGATACCAGAGGCTGTATATAGGATATTGTATATGCTGTGTACAGTTCTCTTTCATAATGTTCAGAACAAAGCTGACCGTTCTGTCACTCCTTTTTATTTTGTACTTGTTTTTTTTTATATGTTTAAACAGGAATTTATAAAACCATCATCTCATAGCTGCAACTTAGACCTCATTTAGCTAATGGTTTTAATCTGCTGCATGTAATTATATGTGCCATACCTAAGCCCTTCACCAGCTACTCTGTCATGTTAGGGAGTCCAATCTCTCTAAATGATCTTAAGCAAGCCAATTAGGCAGCTTATGCGCCTTTTAAGAATTATGCAGCAATTGGATATTGTCTTGCTGAATAGCTGAGTAATCACAACATCCCATTGTAATTCCAGCTGATACGTGGGACTATGACAGCCATTGTGTAGTGTATGGCATTGTAGAGCGGCCTTCATTGGCCCGTATCTTTATGTTTAAGCCGTTCCCGTATTTGACATTGTTCTCCCATTGCTAGAGGCTGGTATTTGTCACATGATTGATCACACGCTCAGCCCTGTCCTCTTCTCTACCCTCCCTCTTCTAATACATTGGCGTGAATTGGTAACATGAGGCTTTTGGCAACACTCAATAGGGAGCCATTGGCTCGGCATTAAGAGTCAGCCCCGGGGCCTTGTGTTTCTGGGTTGTGACAGCAGCTGTTATGGATGAAGCTTTACATGTGACTAACCCCATTTCCCCACTGAGCACATCCAGCCAGGAATTTATTAGACTAATGTGGATTATAAGAGAGCTGATTATTATATGATTACAGGAAGGCAGCATATGCCACATAAACCAGTTCAGAGACGGGTGGCAGGGTGAAAGGGCTAAAAGGTCGGCTAGCACCAGGAAAGGAACTGGCATATTAATGCATTTACAAGGGGGTTTTATGCTTTCAGGGCCTGAGGTGTGATGCTGAAAAAGTCATCAGTCTGTCTCCATGTGCTTAGTCACAGGAATAAGCAGAGAGGAAGAATTTTATCACAAAGAGATTTTTAAAACGTATCTAAAAACATGTCATACATTGCAGCTTAACAGTTCTTAGATGTTGCGGCTGCTTTTGTTTTTTTTTCCTTTATGCTTGGTGCTCCTGCCAGTAACACATTCCCTATCTTAGGGTGACAACGCTCCACTCTTTGTACTGTATCTGTGGAGGAACAGCGTTGTCACCTTAGGACATGAAAACAAAAATCCTTCCCCATAACATTGAGGGGAGGTGTTTTGTTGATCAGAGTCTGCTCACAGGTGTTCGGCATTTGAGAATAAGAGCTTGTAGTCGCCCCCGGTCCCCCGTTATTTCTTTTTAAATTATATACAGACTTTTTCATGGACTTTCACGTGACAGCATTAGTAGTCTTCCTTCGGCGGTGGGCAAGACTTGCCCTCTGGGGCGGTGCCCCAGAGGGCAAGTCTTGTCGCCCTGGACTTACAGGAAATGGGGTAAATATCACTGGGGGTGAGGTACGGATTTTATTGGGGTGCCACCACTACAGCTCATAGATATGATCACTGAGATTTAGTGCATGTTATGTCAAGAATGTTGCCTGTAGAAGAGTAATGTAAAGACTAAGGCACCTTCATTTAGGGGTAAAGTTTACTACAGATAATTCAAACTTCCCCTTGTATTGACAGCCCAGTTCTGCTGTTGGAGTCAAGCATGTTGATCATGGTTCAAGCTGTATGTATGAAACCATATAGGTGGTTGCACTGCCTGATGATATAAGGCACACATCAGCTGAGATGCAGAACGTTCTAAATTTCCATATTTTAGATTTTGGAAGTCGCTCTCATAGAGGTAGCACACATTTTATAAAGGGACATATACTATATTAGAGCCCCTCTAACATGACCATTGTACCACACTAGAGGTGCAGAAACTCGTGAATACTTCTCCTGTACTCATGTGATCCTAGAAGACGTATTTAGGCAACTAAATACTAAACCAAAACTATCCAATCACAATTTCTGAATGAATACAAATCCTTTTCCTTATATCATGTGACCTTACCTGGTCCAAAGTGAGATCTGAGTAGGGGTTTCTTCAGAGTAGCTAAAGCCCAACTCCTACCTTTTTAGATAGAAATTAAGAAATCGGTAGCCTAGCATGTTTAAAACCAATAAAAGCAGCTTCCCCCCGACATAACGTTCTGTGATTCAGGGCCAGTCATCTTTCAGGATACCCAACCATCCTACTTCTTGTGGGCCCAGGCCGTCATGGACACGATGGTCCATGGTGGCCCGGGCTCATGGAACTGTTGGACAGAGCTGCACTTGCATGTCATTACACTAGTACTATAGTATCAAGGAGTAAGGACTGCTCACTGCTGCCACTGGAGGAGACGTGGAAGGTACCGTGACATCAATGGTCCATCTGCTTTGTTCATAATTTATATATTTTGTGTGGTTGGAGGATAAGGTTTGCAGTTTAGAGGATGTCTGCTAAGTGGGTTAAAGTTTTCTTCCTCTTTAGAGAAACAAAAACATGTTGGGAGATCTCACGCATGGTATCATCTCATAGTCTCGGGAAGTAGGTCAGTCTTGGGACACGCTGAATGCTGTGTCTGCCATTCACGGCTGATTTTGGCAAACTGAAAACATGTTCAGCCTTCAGGACGTCATTTAGGTTTGTATGCTGGAACTGATTGCCCTAGATTACCACGTGTGAATAATTCAATGTCTATACTGTAGACTAGTTCCAGTCAAAACTGTGTCAGCAGATGGTCGTGTTTTTGTATTTTTACATTTATTTTGTTGTTCTTAATTAGAGTTGTTGAACCGCCTCTGCAGTATCCATCTACATTATGGTTTGTAGTGGAGGTTTCACTACAAATATTAAATCCACATTATCCCCTGCTCCTAATCATAGTAGAGGCCGGCCCCGTGCAGACAGGCATAAGGGAATGGAAGCCATAGAGAATGACATGGGCCTTTTAAATGTACAGCTGTGAGACACTCACCATTTTTAATAATCTGACAAGTGAATAAGCCGCCTTACACCACAAACAAGATGTTGGGCTGTCCATAGACCAGGGGTAGGCGAAGTCTGTCCCTCCAGCTGTGGTGAAACTACAAATCCCATGATGCATCTGCATCTGGGAGTCATGCCGGTGGCTGTCAGTCTTTCCATGCCTAATGGGATCTGTCATTGCTCCACAGTGGAGGGCCGGAGTCTGCCTACCCCTGCCATAAACTGACTCAAGTCTTATTGAGAATAATAGTTGGAGGTTTACCCCATCCATGAACCCATGACACACAGCAGGTGAATGCAGTGTGATGCTTGGATTGGGTGACCCATAGAAACATTCTAGCTATATTGTACATCTTTCACATGCAGAATGAGTTGCAGATTAAACTATCCTTTAAAGTGTATGTGTTGGAAAAAGAAAATTCAGTACATCTCAATGATCCATGCATATTTTCCCAAAAGCTGCAAGTACAGAAATATACCCAGAAATCCAGCAAGGATGTAACTTCCTGTTGTGTGCTGACCATTCTGCTGCACAGAAATCCTACTCAGGGCTGACAACACTGCTTGGGATTTCAGTTCTGCAGTGGCATGGGGATGTCAGCTTGCTACAGGAAGGGAGGAGTTGGATTTCTGGACAATTTAACCACTTCAGTACTGGCATGTAGCACCCCCTTCATTACCAGGCCATTTTTCAGTTTTCAGGACAGTACGAAAACCCCAGAAATTACCACTTTTTGAAAAGTAGACACTCTAAGGGGTCTGATTTTTTTATTTAATTTTTTTGGGAATGGAGAAACGTGATGATATTGAGTAGGGTTTAAACATGGAGCTTGGTTATAATGCACAGGTCATAGACAGAGGGACGTGAAGAGGTTAATGTACAGGTCACATATAGTGGGAGGATAGACATGAAGGGGTTAATGTACAGATTTGCAGGATAGAAGATGAAGGTGTTAATGCACACATCAGAGTAAAGGTATAATGGAGCTAACCTATGTAGGAGAGGAGGGAGGGTCATTTTATTTTCCTTTTTCTTTTTTTTTTCTCTTTTTTGCTGCTGCAGCTTGTTTTTACTGTAGGAAGCAATGAATGGATGACTCGTCCATTCATTTATCACTGTACTCTTCGATGTAAGAGGAAGGGGAGGGCTTGGCAATGTAAATATTGCCATGTGATTGCTGTGATGACCCCTGAAGAGCTTGTCTGATTGGCTCTGTGTTTTAAGCCACTCTTCTCTGCTATCTGACAGTGGAAGCAGCGGCCGTCCGTGCACACAAGCGTTCACGTATGTGTGAAATGCGTCTGCGGACCAGCCGTTTTAATACAGTGGCGGGTCTGCGAGCTGTTGGGGAAATGTTCATGTATCGCAGAGATGTACTCAATAAGATTTTTATAATTATGTGTTTTATCTTTCTGTATTGGCACATTTTTTTTTCCATTGACTTTGGAAATGATCAGGCGGTTTTATAAAAAGATAAAGCAGTAGAAATTCAGTAGCTCTTTCTTTAGCTGTATTCAAGACGAATGTATTAAATCTTTTTATTAGGTAAACTGTGTGAAGGAACTTTACATGCTCATAGAGGAGGAGGAATTAAACGGCCCATGCACGGATTACAAAGCCTGCGAAGGGGAAAGTTGGCCGCAGAATATGGTGAGTGTCAAAGTTTTGTTCAAGTTTATTTAACACACAAAAGTGATGAATTTTCCTCATTATTTATATAACAAGACAAGCAAAATGTATTCTGTTATGATTAAAAGGACTTCTGTCTTGTTTCTATTTTACCTGTTGGAATAGGCTTCCATTAACATGACTTATTTTATGTTTTGATTGATATTTAATTGTTCTATTTATCACTCAACTGGTTAGCCAAGAAAAAGGGAAATCTAGTCGCAATTCTATCTGACATCTGTGCAAGTTCCCCCTGATTTTGCATTTCCACAACAATTCTATGAAAATGTCAAATCTGATTGAAGCACATCAAGAGGAGGTCAATGTATTCTGAATGATTTTAGAAACCGCTCAAACTGATACCATCGACACAGACTCTTAATGTGTTGTAATTGGCCATTTTAGTGGCCTGTTGGATGGAGGAATCTCCCACTGGGCCAAGCTTCAGTATCTTGCTAGTCGGCCTCGCTGGCTTTCAAAACACCTGAACAATACTTGCATCCAATCAGATTGTTCAGGTATTTTGAGAGCCAGCAGGGCTGACTAGCAAGATACTGAAGCTTGGCCCAGTGGGAGATTCCGCCATCCACACAGTTTAGCGTAGATGGAGGAATCTGTTCCACTTTTTCCATCTGACCATAGAGAATCTGCAGATAATCTATAGGTGGATGGCCAGTTTAAGGGATATATGCTATGTTTTAGGGCTAAGCTACACAGGAGATTTTAATCTCTTGCTACTAAGAGTTGTAACCACTTGCTGGCAGTCATCTGGCAGTAGATTTTTAGACATTCGACCCCGCTTCTAAAACTAGCGAATGATCTCTAAGAGAAACAACTGACCCCGATACTGGAACACTTGGCTCCCTATGGAGCGAGCTACACTGGTAGAATGTAGTTGAAATTAATCACTCGTGTAGTAACGAATCTTGCAATGCTCCATTTATATGTAATTGATCAATAAAAGATGCTACTAAAATAGCTTGGTGCAAAGACAACCATATGTTTTGATGAGCATTTTCTACTAGCGATTTCATGGTGTGCAAGGGTAGGTGTGAACCCAGTTTGCCCAAGCCCATGCAGAACTCTGACACACGGAAAAACGGGGGTGTGGTTACCCTGGAGCTCCGATATATACAATTTATCCCCTTTGTTAGAGTGGTGACTGGTCATCAAGGTTTACGTAACCAAAATTGATATACCCACAGACCTTTTTTATAGGAAGACATTAAGATTCATCTCATTGTTTAGGCCTGCGGGTAATAGGGTATTGAGTTTGTATACCCACATCTTTCCCTACAAAAAGAAAAGATGTGGGTATACAAACTCAATACCCTATTACCCGCAGGCCTAAACAATGAGATGAATCTTAATGTCTTCCTATAAAAAAGGTCTCTAGCACTACAGAAAATAACATCAATATCCCCCCTATTTAGATGTGACCATTTGCTTAACCTGTTCCTTCTTCCCTATGCATTATCTTTTATCTTAAATATATATTGTCCATTGATAATTAGTTGGCAGTTGTTTATTAAAGTAATGTTCAAACTAAAACCCGTCTGTGTGAATGCTTTTGATATGAAAGACGAGACAGGGACTATAGGTATATTTTTAAATATAGCTCTCATCAACATCTTACTATGAAACATACACCCTGGATGTGATTATCGAGCAGGTGTGAAAAGGCTATTTAAGATAACCATCCACATGGTATTGACAAAGCTCCGATGGGTGGGGCGAAACGCGTCTACCCTTGAGTGTATGACACATAGACTATGAGACCTGCACAGACGGCAGCTTCCCTACGGTCTTTTTGATCCCTGAACAAAAACGATGGAAAACTAGATACCCTTCAGTTACCTTCTAGACTGAACTTCCCTTGAAAAAGCAACTCCCTGGATTCACCACGGATTTCGGGATTTGAAACGAACCGGGAACGGTCACAGTTAAATTTTCGATCATAAGCAACATTTGAAACCTTAAAGCCACTGGACCCCAAAAGGAGGGGTACGAGACAGCCAACTGTGAGTACGGTCGACCACTATATACTATCCATGGGTCCCGCACAGGTCTCCCCCTTGAATAAATCCAATTACGGGAGTGTTACTGCTATGGGAAAGTCTCTGAAGAGATATAGAAAATAAGCTGTTTTGATGTTTTCTAGCAAATAGATCAATGAAAGATATGGACACAGGAAGACCCAGGCATATATACTTACCTTCAGTGGACTTGTTTGATCTCTGAATATACCACTTATAGAGATTTTCTCTCTTTTTTCAACTATTGATCAACAGATCATATCCACGATATTTATGGACATATAACCTTGGAAATAGATCTATTCCCCTCCCCCCTTTTTTTCGTTCTTGTGCATAACATCATCGCCAAGCAGGGACATAATCACCTGAGAGGAAACAGGTGTTACACTAGGAGTATTGTCTCCTCTAAACCTTGAAGTTTTTTATAGCCGTAGAGTGCATGGGTCTCATAAGAGGAGTGAATGAGTGGATGAGTGCTCCGAACAACGTTGTTCTTTTATGAAAACAATTTGAGAGGTGATATTATGGGTGCAATACTTTGATGTTTTTTCAAATAAAGTTTATATTTTTATAATCAATTTACTGGTCTCGGTTTACTTTGTAACCGCTTTGTGACAGTGCTCCATACTTGGAACTTTGTTGCCCCTCCCTTTTTTTGCAGAACTCTGACACACCCCTCCCAGCCCAATCAGGTGTGGCCGCGACGTTGCCCGTACCACAACTACAAGCTACTAAAGGACAGAAAAAGCCCCTGCCACCACTGATAGGGCACGAGGGGAGTGGGTGTCAGTTACAGTTTTTTTTGTGCAGGCTTGGGCAAACTCTTGCGAACTGGGTTCACGCCAAACCCTTGCACATCCTTACTAGCAATGAATCACTAGCAATTTTAGAAACCAAATTGAGCTACTAAAAGTCTTACTTGTGGAGTTCTGGCTCATCCATGTGACTGGCAGCAAAGTGGGGAAAGCTTAGCAAGAATGTTAGGCTGGATTCCCATTGGAATTTCACTGAAAACGAATGGAAACACTTGATGTGCATTATGACACGCATTGCTCAGTGTAAGGCTAGGTTCACACCTAGGCGATTTATCGTGCGGATTGAGTCGCGCAAAACACAGATTCGCATTGAAGTCAATGGAGGCTGTTCACACCTTTTGCGGTGTGCCACGCAGAGGAAAATCGTCTGTCGCGCGAAAAGGTGCAGGAGCTATTTTCCGGTGGTTGTCGCGTGGTTTGGGGTCCCATAGACATCTCTATGCATTGAAAACTGCACAGTCACGCAAAGGAAAACGTGCAACACCAGCTCAGTCGCCTAGATGTGAACCTAGCCTTAGTCAAGTTAAAAAACCATGGCAATGATGTGTATGGGGTCCTACAATGACCAGTGTAGCTGTAACCTTAGATTTAACAGTTGTCAGAACAGATCATCTGATTCAAGACACAACTTAATTGAAGTCAGAAGTAGTTTGAAGCTGCACTGAGAAATCGTTTAGGCCAGGATCACACTTGTGCTGCAGTAAAGCACTGTGTGTGTCTTACTATTACCCAGTTTGCCAGTTGTAGTTCCGTTCATTTTTCGCCACTACTGTGTTGTGTTGCATAAAAAAGGGTCAGGAACAGTTGGACAATGCTGGGTGCATTGGCAGCAATTAAAAATGAACGGGCTACCTATCACGTACCTGGTGGGGAGCCGAGTTGTGAGGAGGCCTCCTTTGCAGCACGAGTTCCACACCCCTGAATGTGGAGACAGGAGGTGGGGAAACTACGGGCAGCATCGGTGCCGGACGATGCAGGACACTGGGCCTGGGCAGGTCCTTGAGGCCCGTCTTCAGTGAGGCAAGAAGCAGGTGCTGATGCGGCTGGAGCAGAGCGGAGTCAGGAAAGCCAGGGTCAGCAACAATCGGGCAGCAAGGTACAAAAGGAGAAGGCAAAGGAGAATCCAGGGACAAGCAGAAGTCGGAGGCAGGCGGCAATCAGGCAAGGTCAAGGAATCCGGTCCATGATATGGCAACAGGCAAGATACAGGAATACACACTAAAGCTGAAAGACCACTCAGCAAAGATCCTGGGAGTTGGGCCAGCTTAAATAGGATCATTCCCAGACAGAGAAAGTCACTTCCTGTGCGCCATGTGCCGTTTGCGCATGCGCAGTAGCTGCCGTTTGCGCATGCGCAGTAGCCGCTGCTTCCCGCAAATGTGGTGAACAGGCCTATGCGCATGCGCAGTCGTAACTCTGCTGTTAGGCATGGTCTTACACTACCTTTTAATGTACTGTAACATGTGCACACTAATGCACCTCACGGGTGTGATCTTGGAAAATTGCCAAAATAGTGGACGTGTAAAGGCTCCCAGTTATGCCCTCATCTTCACTTCTGCTAGCAAAAAAAGACCAGCTGAGTTATTCTGGGTATAAAGTACATTGTTTTCACTGGATTTTCTATGTAATGGTACTTGTGGCGGTTGGGGAACCAATGTGAAGTGATCTCTCCACCAGCATCCTTGAGAACGGCTTAGCTTACTTTTGTGCAAATGTGAAATATTTAACCCCTTTCTCATAGTGTAGTGATCCAAGCCAAAGACATTTGCTCTAAAGTAAAAGGAGTGTTGGGTCATCTGGCACCTTTTTAATGTGCGCCTGTAACTTTGGTTTTTAAAATTAAATGGCTACTTGATAATTGGGTGAAGAGTTAATACCAGACTTCCATAAAATGTGGTATGTGTGGGCAGAGTTGTATAATGTTGAGCCCAAACTGTACAGTGTGTTTATGTATTATCTGTTCACTTCCTTTTATTTCACCTTGCAGACAATTGAGTCCATGAAAACCGTCTCTGATGTTAAGAGAATCCTCAAAGACCTTTGTAATGAATTGCAGGAAGAAAGGAGAGGGATGAATGAGCTTCAACAGCAGTTTGCAAGAGCCAAAGCAGCCTGGGAGATAGAGAGGACGGAGCTGAAGGTTAGTCTGGTCCTCACGGCCTGGAACAATCATTGCTTACTCAGCAAAGCCTGTAGACAAAAATTGGAGTAATTGTCCATAGTGTGCTACTGGAATCAATCTTACACTGGAAGCAAAGATTGCAGTTATTATGGGTAACTGCTCCAGTTTTTATAACTTCACCCTGAACTCATGGTCATAAACTACTGATTTGCCATCAACTGCAGACTGGATATTGGCATGCTGCCATTGAAGTCATAATTGGTACTCTTGACATGTATACATGTTTTTAGTCTGTAAATCAGAGACAGCCAGGTCTCAGAATGTTTTGCCAAAGAATTCTGCAATGGAAACCTGCTTATTTTTGCATGTTTCCTTGAATGTACATAATTATTGGTACGCAGATTAATTGATGTCTGTTTACTTGTATTTCCTCTTTCCTGCTCACAACTGAAGGCGTCAAGCAATATTTCCTGTTCTATCCAAAATCTTCCTGTCTGTTACTTATCACTCTGCTCCCATGACACGCGTCTCTGCTTCCTGGCCGCCTTCTTCATACACACTGCCCTCACCGTCTTTATGCCTATATGGTCGGTGTCATGAATCTGTTTCCTGTTCCTCATTGTCCTAAACTCTTCTCAATCTATCTAAATATTTTCTTTGCTGACAGCTAACAAGGTAATAGGTTTACCGCAAGTTCTCTGTCTGTCTGAAATGGCCGTTTCCTCCAGAAAGAGCTGAAGTGAAACTGCCACTTATGTCCTATAATTGGCTGTTTGGGTCTCTACAGTGAATTTGGAGAGTAGTAATTGAGTGGCTGTCCTTCCAGGAGGCCCAAAGAGCAGCCGTCAGTCTGTTATCAGAAGGGGCTTCTAGATTCATGACCTTCCTCCTGTACAGCCCTCCCTACACATGCTTTGAATTGTTTACAATATGGGCAGGGCCTAATTTGACATCTCAAAGTCAGTGTACAAATATGTTTTGCGTGTACATTTCTGCAGAGTGACTAATTGTAAAAGTGCCAAGCAATTAATAAAACCGCAAAAGTCTGGTTATATGGGCCAAAAGAAATCTGAAATGGCTGATCAGTCACTAAAGTGATGGGACAAGCCACACTGCATCTGATGTCTGAGTTTTAAGCTTTCAGTATCTTTTATTCGTTTTTAGAAGTATTTCAGCTGTGGAGCCCACTCGGGCAGGAATTGAAGCATACAGGAACAATACTAATGGTGCAAAACCTCAGCCCAGTGCCTAGGACCAATATGCAAAGTCACTAGTTTCCCACGTATAGTTCAGCATGGGTGGCCACACTGGTCATTGGCAAGAGGGTAGAGGAAAGAGGTTGGGGAAGCGGAAATAGGAGAGTGCAACAACACAAGAAGATAAGTCTAGGAAAAGGATAATGAAAAAAAGAGGGGACTTGAGGGTGACTTGGGACCAAGATGGAGGGATAAGTGACATATAGCGAAGACTAGGGATTCAGAGATGAGTAAACCAAGACTCCCAGATTTTAAGGAACTTAGGCTGAGAGTCTTGAAGGATTCTGGACATGTTTTTGTTTTCCAAGCTCAAGCTATGGTTTGTTTGGCAGCTAGGAAGAGATAGGTGGTCAATTATTATTGAGAGGTGGTGAGCTCTGGAATGGCGTGGGGCAGGAGAGCTAACCGTGGGTCTCTCCAAACAGTGCTGAGGTCAGATTTATGTTATAATAGCTGGGTGGGGGATTGTATACAATTTTATAGCTGTATTTTTAAGGTTTCAGAAGCTCAAAATGTGAGGTACAGATAACATTTCAGCAATATGTTGGCGCTGCATGGGTTAACTGCTTGCTTTGTCTAGGAAGAAGTACAGATACCTTATTTCTTGCTCCTTCAGCAGCCGACTCTTGTCTCCACTTTCCCAGGGTTGTTGACAGGTCCTAACTGTATTCTAGTCCTGCATTGTCCATGATGACGGCTGGGAGCTTGTGACCTGCAGAGTGACAAAGAAAAGCATCTTCAGGGGGTAATGATGGTACAGCGTGTCGTAAGCCTGGGGGAGTGAGGAATAAGCCTAGTATTACTGTTTATTCTAATACCTCCAGACAAACCTAGCAGTTACCTCACGCAGGAGGGAAGCATAACCTTTGTTGTGTGCAATTTTCAGATACATTGCTGTGGAATTTGTCCCTTACATGTAGCAAGAGATTTGAGACCTTATGTTTTTTTATATGAGGGTTATTCACGTCCTCCCAGCAGCAGCTACATGTCTCTTAATGTTTTATGACATTCATTGCTTGTGAGCATCTGGTCATTTCAGCATATTAATAATACATGTTCCCTTATTGGACCGAGCTGTGGCATATATTGGCTGTTTTAGAAAATATATCTGTTAGCAGCTACCCAAGCAGGCCCAGTAACCCAAGAAGCAAATCCTGCATTTGAGCAAATAGGCACCCGCCCTGTGTGATGTCCCCTTTAGGAATGTGCCATGGCACGCGGTTGCTGGAGATCCCCCATATAGCTGCTTATTGAACCACTTCTACCCTCTTGTGGTGCCGTGTGACACATACTTGTGCCGCAGTCATTATGGTTGTCATAGATAGCTGTTGTAGATGTGTTTGGAAATCCGATCTTCATTCCACAAGTAGGAGAGGCCCAGAAATGTGATATCTGTCCAAGCAATGAGAGAGTTAGGAAGATGATAGCCATTCATTCAGTGGGAGAGGCTTAATGTATACTACTGGAGTGACAGGCAGCACATGGACTAGAGGTCACCAAACTTGAAGTCTGAGTAAAACCAAAAGCAGTGATGCAGAGTTATGTAAAAGGACGTTCCAGACATGGAACTTCTGGGAGCTTCAGACTTCCAAAAAGTCCAAACTTGTCTCTTCTTCTTGGAATTGCTGGTTAGCTCACAGAGATTCAATGCCATATAAAGCGAATATGAAAAAATAAAATTCAAGCAGAAGAGGCATAAAAAAAAAACTTGTTAAAAACACCCTTTTTTTTGTGCTTTACATAGCGTTCCTGTGACCATTTTTTTTTCACTGCCTCTGAGTTTTCCAGCGCCATGAGCAGGGAGAGCATGTCATCTACTATTTAGTACTGGTATTTATATAGTACCACCAATTTACACAGTACTTTACATGGGGGGCATTCATATCAGTCCCTGCCATGAAGGAACTTATAAGGTCCCTATCACACATATATGGGCCAATTTGCAGTGATGTCACCCCGCGTTCCAAAGTTTAACCCCCTCCTCCTCCCATTAGCCAAATAGGCATCATGTGCATCTGCATGGCAGCCTAAGCCACGCAGAGATAGCCTGGATGTCAGGGTGCCAACACTGCATTGCAAGGCAGTGGGTGACCATTGTCACCCTGCAAAAGGAACTGACTGCGCAAACATTTTTTTTTTTAAAGCTGAAGACGTTACAGATACACAGCAGCTGACATTCAAATCAGGCAGGAAGTGGGAGTAATGTCACTGGCCTTGGAAAAGGCACTTTAGAGGTAACGTTCTCCTATATGCAGCTGTCATAGTGCTATGTTACATACACTGGTTTAGGGTGAGGCAGGTGTTCAAACATAAGCAGTGATAAGACATGTATCAGGGTGTCGGGTGTAGCAGAATAGTTGAAGCACCAGGGCATAGGCTTCTCATACCTCCCAACATTCTGAGATGGTAAAGAGGGACACCATTTAGTATTTGGACAAAGATGCACCCCTATTATGCCCCCAATTCCTGTAAGCCATGAATATTTAATATGCAGAAAATTATTGGTTACGTGCTTTTTTTTTCAACACTTCTTCTTTTCTTTTGTATTGGCTTTTCAGAGCAAATGCAATCATTTTAGAGTTTGAATGAGATTTAGGCCTCATTCACACTAATCAGCCCGCACGTACAACTCCGTGCTGCGTGCAGGGCCGTACCGAGCAGCTCCCGGGAATGACAGGTGCTGCGTGTGATTAGTACGCAGCCCCCGTCCTTCTCTATGGGAGTACGCGGCCGTACGCCCCCCCCTACTCTCACCTCAAGTGCAGGTCCGTAGGGGTGCATATTTCCTGGCTCGGATGCAGGCAGGATCCATCCCGTCCGCGTACAAGTACGCTCACCCGCACGGACGTGCAGGGCGGGTGAGCGTACAGCCACGTAGTCCCATAGGGAAGGACAGGGGCTGTATACTGATCACACGCAGCACCTGCCCTTTCCGGGAGCTGCTCGGTACGGCCGTGCACGGAGCTGTACGTGCGGGCTGATTACAGTGTGAATGAATGTGAACTTTTGCTAGTTAAATAAGGACATTTATTTATAGGGGATTATACATTAAACCATAAAAAGACAATTGGGGAGTAAAGAGGGATATAGTTCCAAATGAGGGAGAATTGCAAGTTATTGTTTCTTTGTCTTTAGGGTGAAGCATACATGCAGAACTGTAGGATGATTTGCATGGGGGGGAAAAATTAAACTGCGGCTTGGACACTAAACTGCACAAAAACATGTTTTGTGTGTTGTTTTTTTTTTTTTTATGGCGTAGGAGTGGTTAAAGTGGACCTTTTTACCCCCTTTCACCAGAAATCACATCAGCATACAACTCTGCATGCTGATATGAAATCCTCTTACATTCACTAAGCAAACATTTTTTTGCTTTTACTTACAAATACTGTTTTTCCACTTCCTGGTCCTCGAGCAATAGTGATGTAGCCCTGGCCTCACTGGGAAGTTACATCACAGTGCCTTCCTGGAAAATCTCATCTGTGAACTGCAAATTCTCGCAAGATACTAGGGAAAGACATTTCTTTGCCCCGAGACCCCATTCACACTAAGAGTTTTGTAGCGAGATTTCCGCTCAAAAATCGCTCAAACATGAAGCTCAATGTAGCTCGTTCAATGCATTTCAATTGAGCTGTTCACATCTCACAGCTCAATGTCGCTTGAACGTGACCTATTTTTCGGTGGATTTCATGAGATTTGGCCCAATAGACTTCAATGGTGTAGCTCAATGTCGCACATTACCAGCGACATTGCGCTACAGAAGTGTCACTTTTGCACAAAAATATATAAGCAGGAAACAGGAGGAATTATGTCACATCAAGACCGCTTTTGATTAGATACAGCCCAATGCAGCAGCTACGAAGTCCATGTCAAAAGTAGAGCTACGTAGCGTGACAATAGGTGTGCTGTAGCTCAATGTCTCTCAAATCTTTTTTTGATGTAGCTCAGTGTGAATGGGGTCTGAGATGATGTGCATGGTCACGTGGCCAGAGTTCCAGGAGATAAAGTAGATGGATTCATCTGCCCTTAGTAAAAATGGCCACCTTGAGGAGAATGGGGAGGACAAGAAAAATAAGGTATGCAAAGATTAAAAGCCAACAATTACTTAAAATCAATCTGGGTAGATTGCCAAACATTTCTAAAGGTGCCTTTGTTGTAAATGTTAAGATAAGGGTGAAGTTCCTCTTTTATTGCTGTGTCGTAGCGGCCTAAGGCCTTTTTTGGTGGTGTGTGTTTAGGTGCTCTCGGTCCACTTTGAAGGTCTAGTGTCAGTTGGCCATGGATTTTTCTGAGATGGACGGTGCAGTTTCAAGAGTATCTCAGTAGATTTCCGCTGCGGTAACAGAGCTTGTCTTGTGTTACAGCTGGAGTGCGGGAAGCACGGTATAGACAGGAACTCCACTGATATCAAAGCTGCTCTGAAACGGGAGCGAGAAGAGCACCAACATCTCCTGGCAGAGTCCTACAGCGCCGTCATGGACCTCACTAAGCAGCTGCAGGTCAGCGAGAAGAACTGGGGGCAGGAAAAGGAGGAGCTGCTGGCTCGCTTCCAGGAGGAGCGCAAGAAAACAGAGGAGCAAGTAACAGAGCTGCAGGGGAAGCTCAAGCAGGTGAGAAGATACTGAGGCTGTGTTGGGACCTATACAAGTAGCTGGTGGTAGTGATCAATCTTATATGAACACACAATGCTCCAATCCTGTGTGTGTTACTGCTACTCCATAGGGAGCCTATTGTTCTTTCTGTTTAGCACTCAGTCTTTATGCCTAGTGATTAATCTCGAGTGACTATAGAAGCCTGAATCAGCTTGTAAACATCTACGTTGTAACTCTGTCCTAATGAGTTACTCTTTCAGTGGAAAGAGATTAAATAACCCGTGTAGTTTAGCCCTTTTTCAAAAGGAAGAGAAGGCTAGTTGCACTCCTTACCAGTAAAGCCTCTCATTGCTATGCCTGATGAAGGGACCCTGCGTGGCCTCGAAAGCGCTTGTGTCAACTGACACGAGTTTGCAATAAATATAAGATTTTGGATCCTATAAGGATTACGGTGTGCTGGTGACGTTTCTGCAAGTATCTTTCCAAAAGGACCCTCAAAGCAATCTTCATCTGTCATGTTGTCTCTTTAGCTAACCCAAAGTGCTTTGGTATATAAGAAATAAAAGCATTAGTTTCAAATGTATAAACATAAAGCTGACCAATTTTAATAATATGAACTCTTACCTGGCACAGGATTTTTACTTCTGTGCAGTGGTAGCAAAGTTTGGTTAGGGACACACCCCCAGCCTACTGATTGGACAATTCAGGAGTAGTAGCATAGTGGTAAGTCAGCAGGTTGCTTCGCCTCCTGTCAGCACTGATACTAATTGGTTTCTAGTACTAGCCCTTGTTCTTCCAGACAGAGTGCTGCAGTACAGGGAAAGATAAAGGATCAATAAAGCATTTAGGACACTTTGCTGGCAGTGTTCTCCCTTCAAAACACCCTGTGCCTAGTTCATGAAAGCCTTGCCACAGTTCTGGCATGTGCGAAAGATTCAGTTAGTTCTTATGACCACCACATTTAAGAACCTGTTGCTGTGGCTGTAGCAGATTCAAAAAGAATTGCCGCAAAATTCACAGATTTGGAAACTCGCAGCAGTTTAGATCAATTCTGATCTGGTGTATAGAGAGACGCCAGTGCCCAGAATGGGGCGTGTATGTGCAGGCAAACTGTCATGAATGTGACCGCATGCTGCTGAGAGCTCATTGGTCGCTAGGACACTGGTGGCTGCCGGCGTTTAAAGCAACCAATGACAGCATCCCCAACCCCATTGGACTGCCAGACGGGAGATTCCCTGGCTGACGGCTAAATGTAAACAAAGGGACGTGATGCTGGCTGACATCATTGCCCAAATATTGGCACATTTTGGTGATCATGTCAGCCAGCGTCCCTGACCCCGTTGTTACATTTGCTGTAATATAAAATCCAACAGGAATGGTGGGAGCCCTGCATAATGGCTGCAGCAGATGTGCATGTCCAGATATCTGCCACAAGACCTAAGAAGGTGTCAGGTGGTTTAACTCCAGCACCTACCAAAACATGAAATATTACTTCTGGGTGAACGGACCCTTCTGCATTCATTTGTGTTTACATTTGCCTGGTATTCAGCTTTTATGATGATTGCAATGCAGGTTACTGCACTTCACATATTGCTCCTTGCATGTGTGTATATGCCATATAATGTAGCAATGTACAAAAGGTGTATATTATGTGACATGTATTCTATTTTTACAGTAATCAGTCACCGTGTATTTGTGAGCTGTTAGTTAACTCTTCCATTAAATGTCTCTATTCTCCCACAGATAAAACAGGTCTTATTATTTATTTGTGCTTATTCATGAAGCCATCAAGCAGTGCGATACTGTCGCCATACATTTGACAGTCCCCCCTACAATGAGGCTAATCTGCGCTTAGTAACCCCTCCTGCATCTCTCTCGCGCTTCCGTGTGCTGGTATTTTCTACCCAGCAATAACCTAATTGTGTCTGGATTAGATTGGAATAACCTGCACTTGCCAAATTTATTTAAATCCCTCAGTCGCCAGCGGCACAAATGGATCCAAATCCCAGCGCTGCTTGATGTAAAAATTCTCCACGCCTGCCAAAAGGAATAATATGAGACCGGGATTGTGGAGTTAATAATACCCCTTTACTGTTCCCTTACACCCTTATCTGCTGGGGTAATGGAAGCAGCAAGACTTTAATCTGCCCACTTGCATGCTACAATACAGAATAATACTTCTTTTAATATAGTTCACTCCTCTATATGTGCCTGTGTCACGTCCTGCTAAATATAGCTGTACAAATGCCGCATTCTGACATCATAACTGAGGAGTACAATCTGAACAATGGGACTACTCAATTACTGTATTTTGCCCATTTAGAACGGAGGACCAAGCTCACTTGATGGAGCGGTAGGGAAGAGAATTACGAGCAGCAGGTGGGTACACCACCGTGCCCGTTTGGGCTGCAATTTTCTGCACAACACTGCACATATATGGTGTGAACAGGGCACATACTGTTGCTTTCTATGTGCCATGTTCACGCCATACATGTGTAGTGCCATGTTCACGCCATTCATGTGCAGTGGTGTGTAGAACATAGCGCAACATATGTGGTGTACACAAGCCCTTCGTTTTCAAATCAGTCTCTCGTTGATGATGCCCAGGATGATGGAATAAAGTCCCCCTGTAACTTTTTTTTCTTCCCCTTTTGCCGGTCACATATTCCGCCGCCGAATACATGGGCATGATTACGTTAAAATGTGTGACCACGTGACCGGTCACACATTCCAACCCAGTCACAATCTTTAAAAGAACACCGCCATGTTAACCCTGCCCTTTGCTCTGTAGTTCATTTTATGGTGGTCTGTCATCAGTTCTGTTAAACACTAGTCCTTCTCTTTGTCCAACCATGTGACCAGTGCCACAGTACAGGTGATGTGACCCACAGCATAGACGCATAGAGCAACCTCAGCACAAGTATGAAACTACTTCTGTCAGTGCCTGCTGTAGGGAACCATGGTAGTAAAATTAAGTTTGGCTTATGAGGATCAGAATATGATTGGTTACATCTTTTATGGAAAATAGAAAACGTCTTTGGCCTGTGCTGAACTTCTTTCTAAGGATGAAGAACTATTAAGAACCCTGTTTTGCTGAGGTTTTAATGAATACATATTTTTATTTTGGATTCTCTGCAGAAAGAAGGAGAGACGTGGGTTAGAGGCCCAGAACGAAAGAGCAGCTGCTGGAAGGAGGTACGGACTTTCAAATCCCAGGCCTCCTGGTTTTATTGAAAATCTCTCCATCACAATGCATTTTATGGGGGGTGGGGCGCGGCACTCTCTTGACTAGAACTTAAGTATGTTCCAGAGTGCATTGTTGTCTCTCACATTAGTGTGACGAGGGGGAGAAGGATTCTGTGCTGAGTTGATGGTACATTTATCAATGCCGCATAGGAGCGGGGGGTTTCAGATCCGATTTCTAGTGTAAAATAAATCCAACAGGAAATTTGGGAACACCTAAAGATGGGCACGGCAGGTGTGCAGACCCGGGGGCCTAGGCACAGAGCTCTCAACAATAGGATCCCCGAAACATTCAAAAAAAAAATTGTCAGATGGCTTAACACACCAGTATTTACCAAACACTGAAGTATCAGGTTTGGGTGGACTGACCCTTTAAACTGAACTAAGACCCATCTGTGTAGCATCAAAGCAGCAGGCCGGTTTCAAGCCTACACTGAAAAAAGATATTTGGATAAAAGAGGGCATATGAATGTGTCTCCAGCATTTTTAGACCACATGCAGCGTCTTTGCTTCCTCAGTCACATGCCCTCTTGCTTGGGGAACCCACAAAGTTCAAGTTATGGCTTTGTCACAGCCTGACCAGAAATGGGGGAGATATTTTCAAGGGAATAGATTCCCACCTAACACCATTCAGTACAAAAGAAAAAATCTTTGGATGGAGTTTCATGAAACCAGTAGACAATACTCGGCATCACTGATCAATGCTTTTTGACTTGCTTCTAAATGGAAAGTGACTGACCTTGAAACCTTTTATATGTTGAGAAATGCATCACTGGTGGTGAGCTGTCATGGGGTAGCAGAAGAATGTGGTAGGATCTAGTTGAAACACATGTTCTTACAGTAACTCTATACAACATTCAGCTGCCACCATCCCGAGTCAGCATATTAAACCGCTATTCTCCTCTATGGAGATGATTCAGTAAAGGTTTTTTCAATGCCGTGTTCTTTATTGCTGCTCAGATCACCCTACAAGGCAACATAAAGCCATATCTAGCTGTCTTATTATCTAGACATGTTCCTTTGATCTGCTAAGCTCTGTGATATGAATATTTATAAATGTATTTCTCTTAGGCTCTCAATGACAATATGCAGGATAAAGATATTGACTGTGACATGGATGCTAATGGGTCCGGTTTAAAAAGGTGAGGTTTAACTATTCATCCACTTGGTTTATGTACACACATGCACCTCTAGCTATTCATCATTTCTTATCTACAAAGTAACTTTTCAGTGTCTCATTTTATTATACTTGGCATTACAGCCTGTCTTGCCTGCAAGTATGTTTGTTGAATCCTCCTATGAAGACTAGGTCCCCCACAGTCCTGGGCTTATTGCTGTACAAGAGGCGCTGCTTTTACACTGACATTTAGATCTCCACCATCCCACCAACCAGTGAGAGAGCCAATGGCCAGGAGCAGTGGCATTCCTGTTGAAATGTGGGATGGGGTGATCTATGGTGTGCTCCCTGGCCCACAGGGGAGGATTTAGTAATGTAAAAAAGTTATTGAAAGACAACTTTTTGGGGCTGTAATGTTATCTAAATGAGGGAATACACACACAGGAAACCTTAAAGCATAGAATACCTTTAGTTGCTACAATTGTGGTCCATTGAAAAAGACATTGAAATGAAGGGGCTGCACTTTAAGTATGTCCAAGGCCAAAACTTTGTCTCTCTGTTTTGGATAAAGTAGGGAAGGATTGAAATTCCTGCCATCTGTGTCTCATTGGGGAGATTTCCCTTAATTTCTTGTCACATAGACTCAACAATAAGTAAGAAGAAATAATAGCATACTAGAGCCAATGAACAAGACGTTTGTAATGTTCTACTATACTCATTCCACTATGCTATCAGTCACTTACTGAGTCGGTCTAGTGCAACCCCCCCATAGTTCCTCAGTGATCTTATTTGAGTAAATTGAAATCGGGGTGCAGAGGGATACCTCACTTTGAACAACACAATCACTCTTTGCACTGCTTTATTGAATACATCTGTGATTTTTGGTTTTGTATTGACATCATTTTTTTTGTTTTCTCACTCAGAACAAAGTCTGTATCGTCCGTGTTGGAGTTTGAGAGTCTGCTGGACAGTTCTCCTTATGTGCCTGGAAAATTGCCCTCTAATTATGAGGAGAGTAAAGGGATGAATGGAGTCCTAGACTCCCAGCACCTGGTCAACGGTTCTATAGAGCCAGACCTTGGCCAGAATTGCTGTGCATACGTGAATGACAAGTCCTCGTCTGAGCACTCTGCGAAGGACAGGCTGGGAATTTCTTCTTGGGATTACACAATGGATAAGACCGGGAACAACAGAGAGTCAGGTCACAAGCAAATACAGAGAAGCCACACTGCCCCGGACAGAACAGGCATTAGGATTTACTATAGTCCACCGGTGGTGCGCAAACTGGATGCTCCTTTGATCCACAATAAAGAAAAGATTATGGTAGAACCAGGATTCCTTTTCACCATGGCAAAGCCTAAAGAATCAGAGAATTCAGAATGCATGTCTGGAAATTCCTACAGCCAGTGGTTGTGCAACTTCTCCAAGAAGCAGAGGGATCTACTGGACAAAGACAGCACTGAGGACCTTTCATCTGTTCCTGCCTTCCCATCTCCATTGGGGGAATTAGAGATCTCGGGGAACATGAGCGATGACATGAAAGAGATCACCAACTGTGTTAGGCAAGCTATCCGCTCTAGCTCCCTGGAAAGAAAGACCAAAAGCACATCCAGCCAGACAGTTTGCACCATAGGAGTCCAGACGATCCGAATGGTTAACATTGGTCTTCAAACTGATCTGCCCAGGACAAGCTTGCACACAAAAAGTTGGTCACCAAGGAGTTCTTTACTCTCTGCAAGGACCAAACATATTTCAACTTCACTGGACAAGGTCCACTCTCGGGTGGAGAGGCCTTGCTGCTCTCCCAAGTACGGCTCTCCCAAGCTACAGAGAAGGTCGTCATCATCAAAACTAGACCATTCTAAAGATCGAAGCCTGTGGAGCCTTCACCAGAACAAACAAAATGGTTCTGCCTGGGCCAGGTCTACAACCACTCGAGACAGCCCTGTCCTAACCAACGTCTATGATGGATCGTCTAGCCTGTTCAATGTAGTGGATCATGCTGGAAGCACAGAGTCCCTGTACAAAGCAGGTTTGGCTGAGGGCAGAAATAAAGGAGAGGCCTCCAAGTACGGCGTTGTTCAGGAATTCTTCAGGAATGTATGTGGCCGTTCAGCTCAGGCCCCTAGTACAGGCACCGAGAAGAAAGAGGTAGAAGACGGTAGCAAAAGACCCGATAATCATGACCAATGTTCATCTGCCATGTGCCATCCGTCTCACAATGTTTCTAAACTGCTGAGCAAGAGAACCAGCCTAGGAGGTAAAGATGGAAGCCCCAAGGACCCAGACATTACTTCCACCTCAGCAACTGAAGTAAGTTTGATAATTCGCTGCTTAAAATATTTATTTAACTTTTATTAGCTAATAATGTCTATGGTTTGGAAGTCAATTGTAACCTAATTCCAGAATTTACCTACAGCCGTAAGCTTTTCGGGAATATTCACAGCCCCTCCGACCTTTTCTTACACGATACGCAACAAGTCACGCTACCATGACCTTAAAGAGGTAATTGGTTTGGAAAAACTACAGCCAAAGAACTAGGATTTTCAGAAGAGCAGCTCAGTGTTGTCTCCCAAGACATTTAACTCCACTCTAGGCAGTTTTTGTCTTTTAGTGTAGGGAAGGGTTGGAAATTATGTCAGATGTTAACAGGAATAGAAATCTCTGTGGGAACACCGCATTTTGGGTATGGCATCTATCACCTTGACAGGAAGTGAGGAGAAATTTCCCTCTTGGGGACACAGCCATAAAATGACCGAGGTAGTAACCCTTCCTACTGTTGGTAGAACATGTGTTTTATTGCTGCATGTGTCCTTTTTGGTAAGAGTAGGAGGAGGGTAGAGCATGGGGTAAGTATCGGTGGAAAGGGGTTGCCTGGCAAGGGACTTCAGGGCTAACGGGAGACGTAATAGTGTACCAAAGATTATATATACTATAAATTTATATATCGTACACTAATATACATGTTGCACCTATAGATTATATCTGCAGAATGGGATACAGCTCCCCAGAATGTCTCAGGTTACTACTAGATCATGATTCAAATATCTTACTCTATTAGGGGCCGGTGCACACCTGGGTGATCTGTGACCGCACGGCAATTGTGCACGATACCGCACGGAGTCGCCCATCACAGACGATCGCGATGTGGGTGCCATTATTTTCTAATGGCACCCCAGTCACGCCGGATGGATCGCACGGTTTCCCACCGCAATTCCGCTCGTGCATCCGAAAACACGGCTAAACCGGCACCTTTTTTCTGCGATTGTTGCACTGATGTACCCCATTGAAATCAATTGTGCACGACCGCGCAATCCCAGAACACGCGTCCTGGATCGTTTATGTCTGCACCGGGCCTAAAGGGACCTGTGCTTCTTCCACTCTCTCTTCATTCCCTCTGTCTATGGGCCTTGTCCCAATAAATGGTGTGGATCACTTCTTTGAAGAGATTCCACTTCTAAAGAGTACCTGTCACTTTGCCTTCTTGTTGTGATTGTAATGGAAATAATCTGTTGGTCCTCTTTGTTTACTTTTTTTTTATCCTTTCAGGATTACGCCTGTAATTGTAGCTCACATCCGGTAACATCCTGCTTCTCCAGACCTTCCCGCACCCACTCACGCCAATCCCACAGCAAGTGCCAGCTCCACCAAGAGCCGGGGCTTGAGGATAAAACTGCAAGTGGATCAAACTAAAGGGTCAGCTTACGTGTTACTCTTGTATTCCAAGTCATCACCCAAAACCCATCATCTACAGAAGGACTCGAGGTTCATGCACAGCAAAGGCGTGTGTACCCTCATTTCTGTAAGGATGATATCAAATTTATATATTTCATTGAAAACTTATTTCACTGCCCTACTGCTCCTAGAATAGCACTTATGTAATGAGTGTACCTCAAGGTAGGTACTGAACAACACACTGAATATTGTATGTAGACTTGTTAATACCGGTTTGTCCCAGTAGGAGCCAAATGCACATAGAGCGTCACTGCCGTAAATTGTTTGGGCTTTTAACTGGACACGTTGTTGTTCAGAAAACATGTCTGTTTTCTGAACCAAGCTCTTAATCATTACTCTTATTGCACATCATGGCTACTCTTATTGCACATCATGGCTACATAGCCCTTATATCTCACATTTAATGGATCAGTCTGACCATGACTTATATTTCAGTTCTGGAAGGATGCTGGTGGACTGAATCGCTCCTGAACTGAGATCTACCTACTCTCCTTGCTAAGGGGTCTCATTGTCTTTGTTGCAGGGAGAGTTGGACCTTTCGCAGTAGGTGTGGAAGGGGGCACAGTGCTAGACAAAAGAGTGAGTTAACTGGTATCTACCCCAAATGAAATGTGAGTTCTGGCTGGACAAACCCTTTAAATTTTGCAGTGTCAGCACCAGAACTGTAGCTTGGGTTTGAATAGCCCTACTGTAGCATTACCTGGACGTAAAAGGTAGATCGAGCAATTATTTTATTTACAGTGTTCAAAGCAAAATCACAAGTGACCACGGTCTAATCTGTTTGGAATATTTAGATCTAGCTTAGAATTTATTTATTAGGCAGTACAATTAATTTAGGGCATTTTATAAATAAAAGCAAAATCACTACAACATTTGTGTAGTGGTACTTGAAACAAAGGACCTTTGTTGGGTCAGCTGTTAGCAGATGTTGGGGCGGAAGCCAGCAAGACAGCTGACCGAAGTGTAATATTCTGGATACAGAGATAGGCAAGGCATTTCATTGGCTGGTTCCTGGATGATGTCATCCCGATATGACTGATGGCTTCTGAGAGTATTGCTCAACAGAGCAGCTCTATGCCAAAACATCATTGGAAAAGCCTGGCCTGAGATGGCATACAAATATTCTGTATATATGAATAAGTTGGATGAAGATACTTGCAATGTGTATATAGTGTATATAATATATACAGTCCTGTTTCTTACTGTAACAGCACATTGGTTTTTAAAATGAAATGCACTGGGTTTTTTTTAATTATTTAATACCGTCTGCCTTTTAATTTTAGGGACCTCTATGCCTTTTATTTACAATTATCCTGCAATTTACTGTCTGGTTATCGTATGTCTCATCAGTAGGTCACGTACCCACATATTGGTCAATTCACATCATCCTCCATGACTTACAGGAGACCTGTTCCAAAGGAAATATGAAGCCTGTCAGTGCGCACTCCTTTTGGCAATGCCAGGTGCCTGGCTGTCATCCAGACCCCGTGGCCTCAATACTTAGTAATTGACTCAAACAGGTATGCAGCTGAGGACTTCTGACTTGTATTGGGCCAGGTCAATAACTCAAAGTACAGAGGGAAGAAAACCGACAGCCAGGCAGCTAGCATATGCAAGAGATGGTCAGCAATGGCAGTCCCATATTTCTCTCATTTACTTTAACTGAAAACTCAATTGTTTGGTAGAATCTGGCGAGTTAAGTTTTAACTCCAGCCATTCACATGACTAACAGCCGGCCCATACAGATCCGTGATGCGTGCACGGCCGTATCGGGCTGCTCCTAGGAAGGACAGGTGCTGCGTGTGATTTGTACGCAGCAGCCTGTTCTTCTCTATGGGAGTACGCGGCCGTACGCTCACCCGAACTGCACGTCCGTGGCGGGTGTCCCTGCTGGGACACAGACAGGATCAATCCTGTCAGCATATGAGTACGGACACCTGCACGGATGGCCGCGTACTCCCATAGAGAAGGACAGGGGCTGCGTACAAATCACACACAGCACCTGTCCTTCCCGGGAACCGGCCCGATATGGCCATGCACCGTGGATCTGTACAGGCCGGCTGTTAGTCGCGTGAATGGGGCCTTTGTCCTAATTTTGGATAGAATGGAGAAGATAAAGACTTTATTGCTGCCTGGGACTGGCTCTGAAGATTTCTTCTCACTACTGGTCATGCTGATAGTGTTGTCACCTGAACAGAAAGTGAGGGAAAATCTCCAACAGGATTACAGACAGGTTTTTTTTTATTGCCAATGGTTCTTACTCTATCCAAAGCTGAAATTAAAATGTTGGTGGAGATGCACTTTAAATTCAGTCAATGCTCATTTACCACCTGGACTTCCGGCCTGAGATATCAGCTGTTGGTCCCTTGTACCCAGCAGCCCCTGAATATGGCTCATGCTAGAGTTGAGCGAATGGAAACATAGCTTACTGAAACTTGGTTAGTTCCAGGCCCAACCACCTTTTAACCTCTAAATTCTGACTAGAATTTGGGGACTTACTCATTTCCAAAATCTGAAATTGAGAATGTGCTGATTGTTTTCATGTTTTTCCAGGACAATCCACATAGCACAATCTGTTTCCATTTTAAGAAAGAAGGGTCCACCAAATTTAGACTCTCTGTTCTAAATTGTTCTCTTGATCTAGAGGAAGGTAAACAAGAAGAAATGGGGCTGGGCTGACCCTGTCTATATAAGCTAATGGTGCAGTTCAGCTGATGGGTCTCCATATTGGAACCTTTTGAATTATCTAAGCTGCTGGTACTTGCTTACACATTACATTTCATCCGCAATGGATGGCCTTTTATTCACTAGAAACCCATAAGAAAATCAGGGCTAAGCAGAAAGTCCTCCCTGCTGACACTTTCTTATAGGAGAGCCAAATGAAAGGACATTTTTTGTGGTCCATTAATTACTTTTTTTGAGTAAATAAATGTGCACCAAACTACTGCCATTGTATTGGTTTTAGACAGTCTGCGGCGCTTGTAGCACATCAACAACTCCTTTGCTTTACCCCAATGCCATTTGGATGAAGGAAGCAAGACTTTGCTGACAAAGTGGACACAGACTGTCTAAAGGTAGTCTTGGCAATCACCACTCTCAAAATCCAGAGCCTTGGTTTTGGGAACAGTGAGAAAATGGTTTGTTTCGCCTCACCATTTAACTCGTATCTTGTTAGACTGAGGTGAAGAGCCTCTTGTAAAGCGCACGGATCTTGATTAGAATATGGTGCTGCCATTGTGGACTTGAAGTTATTTGTTCTGCGTCCGTGAGTCGCTGAGTAGATATGTCTGACCCCCAGAGAGCTTCTAATTGTTAAGACTTATATTCTTATTATGACAGGTTCAGTTTAAGATACCTGTAGAATGATGGACATTGGTAAGATGTCTGACTGTGGAGTGACTTCAGGGGCAGATTGTGGGATCTGTTCATGGAAACTCTGCACTCTTGAGTTGTTTTTTGGGACCATTTGGAGGGTAAGATGAATATTTCCAATCAGGCCAGCTGAGTTTTTCTCTATTTAGGTGCTTTTTAATTATCTCTTTATATTCCCTAACTGTCTAAAAATCAAACCTCTAGTTAAAGGAGATAATCATGTAATGTCGGGGGGGGGGGGGGTTATCTATATTGTACTTGATAGCCGTTTTTCAGGCTAAGTGAGGTCCCTCTTGGAGCATAACTTGTAAACTATCTGTATGACTTAATCACTTCCACTGCTGCCATGGCTAGTACACATCAGCTCGGTTCATGCAAGCTTCCACTATCACTACAGATTACATGTGGTTCACTAATACTCCATACGCTCACTCAGTTGTCATAATACACTCCTCCTGGCACTTAGGTGGTACTGGTGTTATCACTGGGAGTATTCTATCACATTCCTTCTATTTACCAACATCGGTTTACAACTTGGCACAATTCCCTCTAAGACATGCTTGTACTGCCACCTTGTACCCTCTTAACTACTTAAACTGCCAGCTAATATACTCCGTTACTTTGAAGAATACCACATACACCCCTTCCATGTACACATGTTTTCAATTTTTCCCCGCTTGTGACAAGTCTTCTGAAATACAGATCCCAGATTGGAGCTCGGGCACACATCCAAAAAGCTACTAGCAAACCCATCTCACAGTACAACAGTGCACACTGCTCATCACAGCAACGCCATCTCACACTACAATAGTGTTGCTGGTCATCGCAGCAATGCCATCTCACACTACAACAGTGCACGCTACTCGTCACCGCAATGCCACCTCATAATATCACAATGTACAATGCTCATCACCGCAACGCCAGCTCATGCCACGGTTCACGCTGCTCATCACAGCAACATGAGCTCACAATACCATGGTGCACACTGTTCATCACAGCAATGCAAGCTTACTGTATCTTTGTGCTCCCTCCTCATCACAGCAACACAAGCTCGCAATACCAGGGTGCACCAAGGTGCATTATTAGCTGATATCACAATATAGAGCTCATTTATAACCATGATGCACATGCCTTATAATACTGTGGATTTTAAATTTCTACTGTGTGCGCACAACATTTAAGTAATAGCAGTTTAAACAGACACTTCACACTCCTCCTTCCAGTACGGAGGCTACACTGCACCGGCCTCCACATACTTCTACTAATGTCAATTTGTACCAAATTAGACTGCCACAATGCACCCTTCACCATCCGACATTGTAAGCCCACACCGGCACAGTTACACCCCCTCTCCTTCCCATTCTCCCGGAATCCTGTCAGACATTTTAGTAATGTTTTGTCCGTTATGTACAGCTATTCCTAAGTGACGGAACTATGTAGCACTGACTGCAGTGTAGGAAATGACATTGTAGTGTACATTCAGCATTTGTAAACTGAAATATATCCAGTTAATGTGTACAGCACTGTGGAAAAGAGTTTTATAGGCTGATAGCAATAAGGAAGAAAGAAAAGAAAACATTCTCTTC